CACATACACAGCTCTTCTCAAAACCTGAATCAGAGTCAGACCCCGGTCCTGGCACCTGGAGCCCGTCACCCCCTCGCCTGCCGGAGGCCTCCCGGGCGCCCCCTTACCTGAGGTGCCCCAAGCTGTAGAAGCGGGACTCGCCGTCGGCGGAGCGGACCACCTGCAGCGTGAACGCGGGCCGCAGCTGCCGGAGCTCCAGCAGGACCAGGGCCAGGTAGTGGATGAAGAGCAGCGCGTCCACCAGCGAGACCGCGTACTGCACGATGCCCTGGTAGTTCCGGTCCCGCGGGTCCAGGATGCGCACCCCGTAGAAAAGCCAATAGGACACCACGAAGAGGAAGACGAGGACCAGGAGGAGGGCGCGGAACACGGACACCCGCGGCACGTCGGCCCTCTGCCTGCGGAAGAAGAGGGCCCAGGTGCCCACGAGCAGGATGAGGAGCTTGAAGGCCACGGAGATGAAGAGTCCCTCGCAGATGGTGCCGCACGGCTCCAGCTCGTCCCTCCACAGGACCGCGGGCAGCAGCATGAAGGCGACCGGGGACAGGAACACTAGCAGGCCCAGCGCCCCGGCGACCGCCAGGCCCAGGGAGCGCCGGCAGTCCAGCCCCACGCTGTCCTCCAGGTCCTTGCTGATCCTGGCGATGTCCTCCTGGGATATGCTGTGCTCCGAGGTGCCCGTGACGGCCGTGGTGGTCTCTCCCCAGTTGTCATCCTGACGGGGAGAGAACAGGGAGGGTGGAGGGCCGCACGCCACGGGTCACTTGTAAGAGCCCCAAAGCCAGCACCTGGAGACACGGTGGACATGAGGTCCCACCCCGCGGAGCCAACCGACCCCCTGCTCGGGCGTCCTAGAAAACCCAAGCCTAGCTCGCTCGATACAGAAAATTTTAGAACTTTAGCCCGGCCGGGCGTGGCTCAGTGGTTACAGCGTCGACCTAGGACCCAGGCGATCGGGGTTCGATTCCCGGTCAGGGCACATGCCCGGATTGCGGGCTGCGGCCGATCAATGACTCTCTCATCATTGATGTTTCTCTCTCTCTCTCTCTCCCTCTCCTTTCCTCTCTCTGAAATCAATAAAGATATATTTTTTTAAAAAAAGCTTAAAACTTTAACAATTTTCATTTAAATTTTTCAAAAGGTATCATCTCTTTACCTTCACAAACAGAGAGAACGTAACTTGACCTTTTTGTTTGTACGTTTGGACGAGTTGTTATCATTCCCCGGGTTGGGGTCCCTTAAGAGGCCTGGGGGGCCAGGGGCTACTTGTCCTGTTGCTTGTTAGGTGAGCACCCGAGAGCTCGCCTGTGGCCCACGAAGGACACCCTCTGTTTTCGCCTCCATCCCTGCCTGGGTAACAAAGGCCACTTCTGGAAGTGCCCTCCTGCAGCTCGGACGGCGGCAGGCACAGAGGGAACTTACCTTGTACAAAGCAGAGCTTACCTGCAGCTAGGACATGCTTTTTTGGAAGCTCCACAATGTTTTCAAGACCCACTCAAAAAACACCAGTGTCAAGCTCTCCTTGACAACGTTTCCCAGTGAACAAGCTAAGCAAATTCAGGCGTCTATAACCAGGGCAGCTACAAACTCCTCCCACAATACACGCTCTCATGGCAAAATGAACAGCAAGGGCATGGGGATGCCAGGACTGTAATAACATGTCTGTCTTTTACTTTATTGCTTTCTCTCTCTTTCTAAACGCTGAGGTAGCTTCTGGTTAGAGCAATTAGTCTCTTCATTGAACAAGACCCAGCCGTCAGGATTTTAAACAATTTTGCTGTTTCACTGGCACCTCTTGAGTCCACTCGAAAGCAACAACAGAGCAAGGGGGCAATGAAAAGCCACATGGAGTCCAAGAGGGTGGGCCTCAGAGACTTGTGTATATGATTTAACTTGGAAAAGTCAGATAGAGGAACCAGTTGGGTGAAATTAATGTGTAATATACCAACTTAGAAAAATCTAGTTTAATAGCTGAATCAGCAAGACAGAGATCTCATAACAGAATAACCTCAAATCTAGTAAGAATAAAAAATATGATTTATGAGCCCTGGCCGGTATGGCTCAGTTGGTTGAGCATCCCTCCACGTACCAAGAGGTTGAGGGTTTGATTCCTGGTCAGGGCACATGCCCGGGTTGCAGGCTTGATCCCCAGTAGGGGGCGTGCAGGAGGCAGCCGATTGATGTTTTCCTCTCTCCCTCTCTCCCTCTAAAAAAAATCAATAAATTTTTTAAAAAGACATATGATTTATGAAATGTACACGCCATAGCAATGAGCAGTGGTGGTGGCAAAGGTCTAGACCTGTGAAGTAACAGTTCCTCAGCTTGGAAAGCTACAAGTGCCACAGACCATGACAGAAATGACTAGTTAAGACAAGAGAAGCAACCAAGACGCTCGAACCTTGCTGGTGGACGTATAAAATGTACACTAGCTCTTGCAAACCAGTCTGGCAGTTTCATCTAAATTTAAATATATGCTTCACTGTATGGCCCAGCAGTTCCACTTCCAGGTTCTTATCAAAATAAATGAAAACATATGTCCACAAAAGACTTGTACGAGAATGTTCTTAACAGTTTTATTCATCATAGCCAAAAGTGGTGCAGCCCAAATGCCTGTCCGCAGGAGAATGCATAACAAATTGTGGAACATTCAGACACTAGAACGCTACTCAGCAAAAACGCCAAAGAGTGAACTGCGGAAACACACCATACCGTGGATCAATCTCCAAACCATGCTGCTGAGTGGGAAAAAAGTCCAAATCAGAAGAATGTGGTTCCAATTACATTAAATTCTAAAACAGGCAAAACTAATCTACAGTGCTAGAAATCAAAACAGGGCCTGCTTTGCAGAGGAGGGGGTGGGGGACTGTCCCAGGGACTGACCGGGAAGAACACGAGAGAACCTTCTAGGGTAATAAAAATACATATATCGATAGGATTATGAGTTATATGGGTTTATTCAGCTCTTAGAATTGATCAGAGTGTATACTTTAATCTGCTCATTTCTGTGTGTGTAAATTTAATTTTTTTAAAAAGAAAAACATCACAAGCAGGGAGAAAAAACAGCTACAGATTCAAAGATGACAACTTGCTTTAATATAAAGTAAGTTCCCGGGCTACCTAAAATAGTTTACTCTGTAACACTCTCAGTGAAGGCAACACTGGATTCCAAGTTTTGCAGTGGGCCTCATGGTTAGTGGATAACCAATGCTGAACTCATTACTCGTATCTTGCCATTTTGTTGACCACCACACTGCTCTGATTTAGCTCCCTACCCTGTTTCCTGCCAAAGAGTCGCTAACTAAATCCTCCGTCCATGTTAAGAACGTGTGCACATCTGGGTCTAAAAAATGCAGATGTCCAAAGGGCCGTCTCCAGCTTGAGGTTCTCAGAACAGAAAGGATCTAAGATCCTCTAACCCAAGTCCCTAGGTTTTCAAGGAAGACGCTGAGGCCCAGCAAGGCGGTGCCTGCCTGAGGTCGCATGGCCCAGGAGAAGTGCAGCCTCCAAATGCCCGTTTCAATGTTTTCCCCACCACATCCTGGAGTAAATACCAACAGCTTCCCAATGTAGCTACGAGATATGGAGAAGCTGCAAAGAAGAAATGCCTTCGATGGGCCGCCAGCACCTCTGGATCCACATCTAGAAGGAACCGGACCCCCTGCAGCCCTTAGGGTGGTCCACTCTTAGGATTGGCCCCATCCGTCCAACCATCCCTCTGGCCCTCCCAGAGCCAAGACAGGCAGTGAAATAGTAATGTATATGCTGAGGAATTCTAATTTCAGTCCACCTATCTGCTTAGAAATGCATATCTGTGTAAAACTACAGGTACGCAGAGGTTTAACCATAGTCCTACGTCTTTACAGCTGTGTGTGCACGCATTGGTTTATTTGGGGCCAAGGCTGGACATGCCTATATTTCACCAGCTACGGAGGTGCCTATATTTCACCAGACATGTTGCCGAGTGTAGCTCAGATGTTTATTTAAATCAGATGGGTTGCCAGACAGTGGGGGCCCAGAGAAAAGACCCCACACAGTGTTTTTTTAAAAAATACATAAATTACCAACACAGTTGACCCTTGAACAATGTGGGGGTTAGGGGCACAGTCAAAAGTCTGCATATACTGTGACTCCCTCAAAACTTAAATACTAATAGCCTACTGCTGACTAGAAGGAAGTCTTACCAATAACCTAAACAATTAACATATATTTTGTATGTTATATGTATCATATACCGTTTTCTTAAAATAAAGTAAGCTAGCCTTAGCTGGCTTGGCTCAGTGGTTAGAGTGTCAGCCCCCGGACTGAAGAGTCTCAGGTTCGATTCCAGCCGAGGGCATGTACCTCAGTTGTGGGCTCAATCCCCGGCCCCTGGCCCCGGTTGGGGAGCGTACAAGAGGCAGCCAATCGGTGTGTCTCTCTCACATCGATGTTTCTCTCTCTCTCCCCCCCACCCCTTCCACTCTCTCTGAAAAGCAATGGAAAAAATATCCTTGTGAGAGGATTAAAAATAATAAAACAAATAAGTAAATTAAGTAAGTAAGCTAGAGAAAGTATTATTTAAAAAAATCATGAGGCTGAGGAACTACATTTACGGGACTGCACTTAATGAAAAAAATCTGCATGTAAATGGACCGCAACAGTTCAAGCCGGTGTTGCTCAAGGGTCCACAGTGCTTAAAAAACTGAGTGAAATAGGGATTGCACATAAAATCCGTATTTCCAGCTTTTCTTAAATAGCACAGGCCCCAGGACCGCAGACAGAATCCCTGAGCTCCGGAGCAGTGCGAGGCATCTGGAGCTAGGGGCTGCCACGGCCCACGCGGAGGAAATGCAACCCCGTGGGGCCCAGAGCCCCTCGCTCGCTGCCACCCCACACTCCGTGCCGCGGGCCGCTGTTCAACCCCAAGCTCGCCTGATATACTTTTGCCTTTTGCTGTGTCCTGGGGCCTCTTTCATTCATCTGTGTTTCCAACCAGGCATCTACGTTTGCAGCCCCCGAATTATCTCATGTCCGGTCCTAACCACCCTGCCCTTCTCCCCACGCGACTCGGGGTTTCTGGAAGGAAGGTCCTTCCCTCTTTCCTCCTGTTCCACTTGCAACGAGTCCCCGGAGACCGCAGCCCGTAACTTTTCCCTCCTCCGCCCTGATGTCAGCCCGGCTGACTTCTTTTCAACACCATTCAGAGCAGGCCCAGCAATCACACTTGGGAAGCAAGCAGAAGCCAGCCAACGGCAGCGCAGGCTGTCCTCAGACCAACAAGAAACCACGGGACATAGACAAACTAATTAACATGCTGGAAAAACAACGAGAAAAGCCCAAGAGAACCTATTACAACAAGGCTTAGAGAAACATTTACCAAAAGGAATCCTGATCAAGGGGCCGCGTGCTTACAGGCGGCCTTTGATCCTTACCTGGACTTCCTCTGTCCGAGTGGAGTCGTTTCCCAACAGGGGCTCTCCGGTGGGAGCCTGAATGGTGACGGCTTTTTCTGACCCTCTGCCATCTTTATTCCGGGGTGACTTGTGTCTCTCTCTATTTCTTTCCCTGAAAAAGAAAGATAATAACTAGTATATTTATCCCATGTTAATTGACTCTCATCAAAATATTTTGTAAAGTTCATTTTGAGTTTAGGAAAATTACACACACACACACACACACACACACACGGTGCCAATACCCACCTATCGCCACTCCCTGTCACCGTGCAAAAGGTTAAGTTGTTCTTAGCATTTTCTTTCTGCCATTCCAGGACCCAAAACAAAGACTGTTACATCTCCATCAACAGTGCTCATATTTTTTCAGAGCCTAAAATTGCAACTTTTAGAATTCATGTAGCTAAGGCACACTGTTATTGTAAAGTGATTGCCTTGATTTGGATATAATTTGATTGAACGTATTTTCTAGGACCTTTTCATTGGGACAACACTGCAAAATCTTCAAGCTCTGGTCTGTCCAAAAAAATCTGGGACACACTGTCACCCTACACCTCTGAACAAGAAGAAAGGAAATCCTAAACCTGCACAGAGAATCACTTACCTCTCATTCCTACGAATTCAAACGAAAAGTCATTCCCACAGGTTCTAGCTGAACTCAAAGATACCCACAAAAACAAACAAAAGCCAGGACAAATGACACCAAGTGTGTGCATGCGTGTGTGTGCGCACATGCGCATGTACCTGTGTGTGTGTGCGTGTGTGTGTGTGTGTGCGCGCACGTGGGAGTGTTTTCAGGCCTCCAAAGGAAAGCAGGCGACTGGCTGCATAATATTAATCCTGGGTGGTCCCCCAGGGTGACTGTGAGCGCACCCTGCCGAGGATCAATCTTGACAAAAGGAATCAATCACTGTGCAAAGCTCAGAGGTCCGAGGTTGATGCAAACCTGGGCATCAACCAACCATGGGAACTGGCACTCCCGTCCCCAACTGTGAACAGTCATCGCAACCAAAGGAGCCCCACGGTGCCAAGAGTAAGCTCCCTCACCCGTCCCACAGGCCACCCTGACATCAGTCTTTCCTTCAACCACTGTCCTAACTCCCAAGTCTCCCAGGTGGGACAGGAGCATTGCACCCACTGACTTTGGGGATAGCACAAAGCGGAGTGCCCAACGCTCTGCCAAAAACAATCACTTCCACAGGATGCACTGTGAGAAACAATAAACAACTTGGGGGAGATTTCCCACGTGCCAGAGTGAACTGTTCAGACGAGTCCCAGGGTCCCCACCCCGCCTCCGGGCCAGATCCAGGAGCCTCCTCTTCCATTTTACTGTTTCCCCTTTCCCCACCTGCTCTCATCTCTGTCACTCTCTCTGCCATCAGCCAAGTCACATTCTGCCCTAACCTATCTAGCTGTTCACTGGTCCCGTGGGTCAAATCCTGTGACGGCACAGATTCCACCGGAAATCAAAATCCCTCCACTGAGTGCCAATTCCCGGAGCCTGGACAATCCCAGGCAGAAGCAGGTGGGAGCCACCCAGGGCTGGAAAGAGCCTCTCTAGGACCCACCATCACTCCAACCCCCACCCACCCGGCCTGGCTTGTAAAGGGCTTAATGGCACCCAAAGGAGAAGTGGCAGTCTATTAGTTCCTCTGGTAACATCGGAGGTGAACCAGATAAAAGCCATTTTTGATAACCTGGGGAAGGTTTCTCATCCCCAGAGGCAGAAACCCTAAACCAGTGCAAAGAAAACATTTGGGTGTGGATCTGGGTAGATTCGCTGGCACCACCCTCAGAGAATTCCTCGGGAAGGGAGACAGCAGGAATCTGCATTTTCCACCAGCTCCCCAGTGATCCAGGAAACGGTCCGCAAGGCTCTCCCACCCAAATGCTCCTGGGGGAGGCGGCTGTTGGACTAACTGCTTGGAAGGCGGCCTGTCTGTGGAATGTCCTGCATATAGCAGGGGCTCAATCGCGGGAGCACTGGTTGTAACACTCAGCTGTACAACGTCACAAAGTGCAGTGGCTTCTTTATGAAACCAGCATTAGGTGGAGGGAGGCTCGGAGAAAGGCTTGGGATAGCGTGCATCTGGACAGAGGGATGCTCAGAGGCGAGGGCTTCCCCTGCACAGTCACATGAGGGGCGGGTGGAAAGACCATCCTATCAACTCAATGTGGGCCATGCGTCAAGCTGGTCCTGTTGTCAAGGGAGCAAGAACTGCCATACGGCTCTTATGAAAAGCACTGGTCTTGAATGACTGCTCCGGGGAGGTCTCTGAGCCAGTACTAAATAGAAAAGACCAACAAAAATACTGCTGGTCAGTGCTTTCCAGCTAACAGAGCTGCAAGCCACAGCGTGGCTGCCTCAACGCAACAGGTCTCCAAATGTCTATCCCAATAGCTCCCAAGGCCATAACTCTAAAGAAGGGCCAAGCGCCCCCTGGGGAGCTCCCAGTGGTGAAGACCATCAGAGGATGCAAACGGGAGACAGGGAGTAAGGCGATCAAGCCACTGAAAGAGACACGTGCACACTTGGTGTTTTTCAGCTCCGCCTAAGTGGCCCAGGTCACCTGTGTGCCTTTGCTGAACAGGTGTGTTTATCTCTGGTGTCTTTATCTCTGAGCCTGTTTCCATGCAACATCTGCCTGGATGAGTAAAGATAAGTGTGTTTGTGCACGTGTGTGTGCGAGAGGGGCAGGCGGAGCAGGCCAGGGCACGCAGGAGGCCCGGCACGTGCCTGGACCTGCGTGTGTGTGAAGGCATCCATTGAGGCAACTGAGCTGAGCCCTTGGTGGCGGCTGCAAACCCCCTCTGGCCCCAGCCAGAATCCCTGTCAAGTCCCACAGGGGTCCCACTTACAGCTGGCATTTCCTGGGAAGATGATTTGGCTCTGTGTCCTTTGTTTGCTCTTTCTGTTTGGGGAAAGCCCGCCCCACCGGGTACTCCTCCCTTTCCTTCTCCACGCCACCCACTACCTGCCCTTTCTGTCTGCTGACAGCTGGGGCCTGGCTGGCTGCTTCCTCTGCACTGGCTCTGCCGCCGGGGAACAAAGGCGCCAACCCCCTCCATCAGCAAGCCCTCTCTGGGACAATGCGTTTTAGCATATGAGTCACATGAGTTAGCCTTCATTTCCTTTCCCTTTTCCCCCCTGCCAGTTACTCCTGCACAGCCCAGGGAAAAAGCGTGGGCTCCCAAAGGACCAGCAAGTGGGCCTGAAAACTGAGGGCATCCAGCAGCCTTGTAACCTCAGACAAATCACAGGGCCTCTGGGCCTCAGTCTTACCACCTTGGGAGTGGGGGCACCACCGCCCACCGTTCTCGGACGGCTGTGAGGATGCGGCTGTGAGGACTGAGGGTCCCAGTGGCGGGCACTCTCCAATGGTCCTTCACGTGGCTGGCCGCTGCTCTACTGAACTCAGGGAACTCATTCCTGCTCGCCAAACACTCTGTAGGTCTGCAGCACCGCAGGCTCTGTGAACATCAGCGCACTCCTGCGCATCCTGCTCAGGGGAGGGGTCAGCGCCCGGCACCCGGGGCAGCGTTCTCAAAACCCAGGGTGGTTCAATGGAAAGACTAGCCAGAGAGAAACAGGCGCCAGGCCAACCCCACCTCACTGTATAAGCCTCGTGGCAAATGCACAATGGACCCTGAGTCAGCAGCTTTGGCTGAAAAGCAACAAATTAACACGTTTTTTCAAATTTTCATTTACATTCTTGGCAAAGCTGTGGGAGAGCTGTCATCTAGGAGAAGTACTTGGAAATGAAAAAACATTTCCACTGCAGGGAGAAACTTTAATTTAAAATCAATCGTGAGAAATTAAAGTCATCAACTGTTATGGAAGCAATAAAATGCAACTTGGCGGTGTGGTTACTCCCCACGCACGTTAAATACACTTCAAGTTCAGCTTCTCACGCACCACGGACTAAGCCACCAGCGTCCACAGCCCTGCAACCGCTGTTGCTATTAAAAACGGAATCTAGCCCTGGCCGGTGTTGCTCAGTGGTCAGAGCGTCAGCCTGTGCACCGAAGGGTCACGGGTTCGATTCCTGGTCAAGGGCACATACCTGGGTTGCAGGTTTGATCTCCAGCCTGGTCGGGGTGCATGCGGGAGGCAGCCAATCGATATGTCTCTCTCACATCAATGTTTCTCTGTCTCTCTCCCCCCCCCCCTTCCACTCTCTCTAAAAATCAATGGAAAATATATCTTCGAGTAAGGATTAACAAAACAAAAAAACAAAAAAAAGAAAGAAAGTGAATCTAAACACCCCAGCACCCTACAAGTTTCCCCAACCAGGAAAAGTGGAAGCATCCCCAGCTGACATACCCTTGTCTGTGAGATTTTTTCGAATGACCGGAATAGTAAGAATATCCAGAATACGTGGATTCGGTATCCATAGCAATGGAGAGCTTGCTCTTGATGAAGGAGCAGGTGCTGCTTCTCCGTCGAGGTAGAGAATTTCACCGGCTGGGTTCCTGAAACCTCGAAGGGCCCGGGAATCAAGGGGCCACACTCTTCAACAGGAACGGATTCTGGGAAAAGGGAGGGAAACAGATATCAACGTTCAAAGCCAGCCTAAAGGGCTGGAAGGGAAACGACAGCAGCCGCCTCCTCTGGGGTCTCTATGTTCCACTCGTGCGGCAACAAGCTTCCCCAGGTGTCTGGGAGGGAGACAGGTAGGTGACAGTCAAGTCAAACCCTGACCACAGGAGCAGGAAAACAGGAGGCGGGCGATACCTGGCCCTTGGCCATTTCCTGGACACAGCCTGGCCCCCACAGGTTCAGGCTGGGGGCAGTGGGTTCCCACAGCCTGAGACACGATGCCCAGCCCCCACTGCCAGCTTGCTGGTTACAAAAACAATACCCAGGAAAGTCTCTTCTAAGGGATTTGCTCATAGTTTCCAAAGGCCAATGTAAAAGGGGGGAAAAAAAGTTCTCAGTCTCTTTAATCCAGGAACCCAAATTCCTGAGGATTTATCTTAGGGACACTAATTTCTTTTTTAAAGAAAAACTATTATTACTGCATTATCTGTAACAGTAAAAAGCTAGAAACAATCTAAATGCCCCCCAAACAGAGGAATAGGCTTATCCACCCAGAGAAATATCATATAGCTGTTTAAAATGATAATTACAAAGAATGGAGATGTTTATGAGAAGATGGTAAATTTAAAAAGCAGGCTACGGGACTGTGGAGACAGAGACGCACCGAATCCACGGGGCAGTTACAACCCTATAAAATCACTCAGGTAAACACAAGGACAAACAGGGATATGAGCGGCAGGCTCCTCAGTCTTTTCCCACATTTTCATTAGATATTGCTTGGCAGTAAAAATAAATCAGAAACATTTCCAAGTAAATTCCTGAGCTCCACACGCTAACTTCTAGAACACTGGAGATCTGCAAGTGGGCCTCTCCCTCGCACCCATCACCCCAGAGCTGGTCTCTGCCAAATGCCCAAGGGGGCTCTTCTTCTCAGGGCTCCTGAAAGCTCAAATTGTAAACAGAGCCAGTGATAGGCGTGCGAAGAAAAAAACAAAGGCCCTGCAGATACCATGCCCCTGTCCCTTTTGGATGAGGCCATGGCTCCCCACCCAGCAACCACCTGCAAGTCTGGAGGCAACTCCCCTGAGAGCCAGCAGAGCCCCCACCCTCACAGGGTGATTCCCCCCCTGGGGTCTGTGACCCAGGGCCCTGGGTGTTGTGACTCATCAATTCAGTACCCCTCTGCCATCAAGGGCCCCAGGAGAGCAGAGGGAGACATGGGTTCTAGCCAGAGCTCCTCCCTGTCTAGCACAGCCTGGGATTTGCCACTGGCCCCGAGCATCAGTTTCCTCGTTTGTCAAATCAACCAGCCACCGTCTTTCCATGTTCCCAGGGTTGATCTGAAGATGTAAGCAGATACAGTATCCGGAGCTGGGTTCCAATCCCAGGTGTCACTGGCTTATTAGCTTTGTGACCTCAATCGTAATACTAAACCTCTCTGAACCTGCCTCTGTAAAATGTACATAACAGGGCTGCCGGGAGAAAGAAAGGAGCTACAAGTGCGAATGCTCCCAGCAGTGGCTCCAAATGCCGGATACGTGAAAGTCATGGTTACCCGTACGCCCGTTCCCGCTCTGAAACCTGATGTCCTCCTTGTCTTTCTCAGGGAAAGGAAAGCTCTGGCAAAGGAGCAGGGCAGGGCAGGGCCTATGCCATCTTCCCACCTGGAGGCTCACCTGTGGCTCACCTGCAGCTCACCTGCAGTCAGGTGGCACTGGGCTGGCACCTCAGCCCGCCGCTTGCTAACTAGCTGTTACCTGAGCAGGACAGGTTCCCCTGGGAGCCTCAGGTCTCCTCATCTCCTAAACAGAAATAAAGCAGCCTGTTTTCTGGGGTGACCGTGAATGTGAAAACAAACGTCGCAGGCATTTTGAAAAGTGTTAGTTTTGCTCCCCCCCCTTTCCTGGAAGACTTCATGGGCCCCCCTCCTCTGCCTCCCACCATGCTCACGAGCAATTTCAATGAGCTTTCAGCACCTTAGACTCTCGCTTCCTTTCTGCTCAGGCTTCACTGCTTCTTACCTGGCAGACACGAACATCGGGAGGCGAGCCAAGCTCCGCAGGCCTGCCCCGAACCAGCCTCTTGCCCTGCGGGCCCTTCGCCCTGCCCTCTGCTGACCCGCAGGCTTCGCCCAGGACCCTGACTGCCTCTTCTCCACTCGGAGTTCACCACCCACAAGTCCTACACCTCTGCCTTCCAAACCACAATTCCTGATTGCCCTTTCCAGCCCCTCTTCTAGCTGGCTTTGGCTACCTGTTGCTAGGGGGGAGGGGGGATCTCAGAGGCAGGCAGCCCAGGTCCTGCAGACCTGGCTGATCCTATTTGTGCTTCCTGCCGTGACACTCTGGGGCAGATGCTCACCTCTCTGGGCTTCTGTTTCTTCCCCTGCAAAACGAGGCCGTTTCCTACGATCACTTCCTAGGGCGGTTGTGAGCGTCAGTCGAGACTCCCTGCGTAACCCCTCTGGCAGCTGGCAACCCAAGTTCCACTCCTCTCCCAGCGACGTCACGCTGCATGCTCATTAACAATTCTGGCCATCCACGAAGGCAACTCCAGGCACGTCCCGCAGTAAATCATGGGCTGCTCCCTTTGGGAAAAAGGCTTCACCTAACCCTACCAGCCGCCCCTGTCCAGTTTCTCTCCCACAATTCTGGCCTGTACATGCTGCCACTCCCCCCTCGACGGTCACCCCAAGTCTCCCTCCTTTCCGCTGAAGCAGCTCTTAGCCGGCCAGCGACTGCTAAGAGCCCCATCCAAAGGTCACAACCTTGTCTTCCTTTCCCTGGGTTTTATCCCATCTGTTCATTCATCCGCTGCCATATCCAGTAAGCAGCTGGAGAGACCCTGCTGGCAAGGCCAGGGCACAGCGGTGCCAACGCACGGGCACGCCGTCACCGTCACCATCGATGTGATGCACTAATGCTACTCCTCCCACGTGCCCTCCCCTCTCCCCATCAAGCTTTCCCCTAAGGCTCAAACTCACCATTAGTCTCCACCCATGGGCTTACTCTAATATAAGATCCTTGAGACAAGAGCTGCCGTTCACCCCCAGGACACTCTGAACATAGAGGTACCCACCCAGCAAGTACCCAAAGGATGAGCCCCAAGGCACGGTTCCCACACGGGCTCGGCTCCACCTGGGATTCTCCTCGGTCGCCCTCACAGCTGCTCGCCACTGTCCTGACCGACGCTCTCCAGTTTCCTCCCGAGGGCGACGCAATCCTCCCACCCATCCTGTAGCTCGGCCCCTGGGCCATTTCCACACTCTCTCCCCTTCATCCCACACCCATCTCGCCACGAAGTGCCCTCTGGCCCCCAGGATCCCCCCTCACTGCCCCGGCTCTCAGCCGCCCACTGCCTCCTGGGCTAACCTATTACAAAGCCTGCAGGTTTCCTCATCGAATCCAGTTTACAGAGCCCAGGCCCCTTCTTCTACATCCCACTGTTTCCATCATCACTGTGAACTCTTGTTGGAGACCTAAGTGGGGATTTAGAAGCAGCAACAGGCAGCCAAGTGACACGACTCCAGAGTGAACTCCTTTTAAAAGCCGATGTAAGAGCTTCGGTTCACAGCCGTCCCCCCTCATTCGTGGGGAGAAAGCGTTGCAAGAGCCCCGGTGGATGCCTGAAACAGCAGAGCCCTATATATACATTGGTTTTTGCTATACATGCATACCTATGAGAAAGTTTAACTTATAAATAAGGCACAGTAAGAGACTGACAATAACTAATAATTAAACAGAACAATTATAACAATATACTGTAATAAAAGTATGTGAGTGTGGTCTCGCTCTCAAAACACCTCCCGTTCGGTACTCACCCTTCTTGTGATGCTGAGATGATACCATGCCCATGTGATGAGATGAAGGGGGGTGACTGAGAAGCTATTAAGTAAAACAATGGTCACTGGAACACAAGCACCCGACCAAGGGGCGTGTAGCATCTCCAGCGAGGAGGCGCTGGACAGCAGGACAGCTCACTTCTCAGGCGGATGGGGCGAGATTCCACCACACTACTCGGAATGACATGACGTGCAACTTAAAACTTATGAATGGGTTATTTCTGGAATGTTCCGTTTAATATTTTCGGACAGAGGCTGACCACAGGGAACAGAAGCCGTGGGTAAGAAGGGACTATGCAGTCAACAGAAGAGCACGTCCTGAAGCTTATCACTGCAATGACAATATTTACAAGACAGTTTCCCTGTATGCACAGGAAATTAGCAGAACTCAGATAAGGTCAGAGGGCCGCCTTATCGGGAAGATAATAAAGTAATAAAAAGGAACCAGATTCCCAGGGTGATAACCGCTAGGAGGCCACACGGGCCTGCGCAGGAGGTAGCCACATAAAGGAGTTAACGTGGACCCTGGAATTGTCCTCCTACTGACCCAGCAGGGCAGCAGCCAGCATGATCTCTCCAGTCACAAGGTGGAGGTCACTTTCCTGCTTAAACCCCTTCCGGCCCAGTTCCGGTTTTGCTCTGCATCACAACGTCCAGTTCATCTGAGCGACTACCTGGTGTCTGGCTCCTCGAGGGCAGCGACCACCTTCGTTACCGCCTCCCCAGCTCCTAGGTCCTAACGGGTGCTCATTGTGTGCTGAGTGAAGGGTGTCTGTGGCCATCCTCAGGCCGTGGAGGCCATGCATCTACTGTGTAGGACCCTTAGAGGCTGTCTATATCTTAAATGTTCAGTTTTGTCCGGCCGGTGTGGCTCGGTGGTTGAGCGTTGTCCCAGGAACCAGGAGGTCACGGTTCGATTCCTGGTCAGGGCACGTGNTTTTGTCCGGCCGGTGTGGCTCGGTGGTTGAGCGTTGTCCCAGGAACCAGGAGGTCACGGTTCGATTCCCGGTCAGGGCACGTGCCAGGTTTCAGGCTCCATCCCCAGCAGGGGGCGTGCAGGAGGCAGCTGATAGATGTTTCTATCTCTCTCCCTCTCTCTCCCTTCCTCCCTCTGAAACCAGTAAAAACATACTTTTTTTTAAAAAGTCCCATTTTAAAAGGCGCGGGCATCAGGTTCAGCCGTGACGCAGACCCACCAGGGTGGCACCCGCGCGGCCCTGCCGCGCCCACGCCTTCTCACTCAGAGGCACCATTTCTGTCTCAGACACACCCTGGCCGCTGCCTTCCGCCTGCCTGTCACAACCCGAGGAGCTAGGGGCACGGCGGGA